GAACTACTGAAATCACTACAAAGTGGTGGGAGGTTTGCTACGTCCACCAAAAAAGAAGGTGAGTAGACGGGACATCATGAGGTTTTATTTCCTGAACGATGTTCCTGAATTGATAGGATTATCCAAGGGACTGGTCTCTGAATGGTCTCTCATGAAGCACTAACTTTGTCTAAAACATGAGATATGTTATCAGCTAAGCAAATAATGACTTGTGAGAAAAGCCAAATGTTGTAACAAGTGTGTACTCACCAACCAGAGCTTCCCACGCCTCTAGCTTACTGTGACATAATGGGGCAAATTTCCAGCCCCAGATTCTCCAGGTACTGTGCAAGAACACTGAAACATACTCCATTACTTACATTTTAGTGGTTATCACCTTAGCAGCTTTGTGATGCTGTTTCAGAGTTCTGATCACACTCAAAATGCCCCAGATACCTGTAGGCTGCTGAGAACTCTTAACAACAGGAAAACTTTCTCTTAGACGTGATGGTTCAGACTACCAACATCATAGGGTGTGGGATTGTGAACTTCCAAAAATTTAATTATTTGTGTTGTTGTTTTATTTATTCATGTGTGCCAACATAACAGAGCCTTTCCAAGATGCACTTAGAAAAAGATAGACATAGCTAAAAGAAAAAAATCTCCAAAAATCAATTTTAGGTCAATAGATACAAATAAATGAGCTAATAAAAATATCAAGGTAAGTATCTTATTAAATTCATCAAACTCAGGAAATGAGATATTAATAGAGCTAATTCCAATAAAAGATGAAAAATATGAAACAGATAGAAATATTTCATGCCATACAAAATGGACTTCAGGGTTATTAAAAATAAAAAGGGAGCATGAATTTGGGAGGAGAATGTCTTCTAAGACATCACCAGAGAACCTAGAGGAGGGTGATAGGTAGATAAGTTATTTCACTGTATCCAAATATGAAATTCTTGAGGATTTTTTTCTGAAGGATTTTTTTTAAAATGAAAATTTGATGCTAAAATATCATAATTGAACAAAATCCTTATTAGTTGTATTCAATAGCAACCATATTCAAGCCCCAGAAACAATCAGTACATTTGATACAATCATTTAAATTTACACAGAGACAGGAACATAACAAACAGGAGTGAATGAAGCTTTAGGCCTTTGTAGGATACGGTCAGGAAGAACAGCATAGTCATCATGTGACTTCCCAAAAGAGAAGACAGTCAAAGCTCATTTAAAGAAACCATAGATGGATGTATTCCACTTTCAAGAAAGGACATGGCCTACCAGGTTCAAGAATCCCCCAAGTCAGTTACAAAGAGAATTTGCAAAGCATCAAGAAAAGGAAAAAAAGAAAAGAAAAGAAAAAGAAATAGATTGAAAGAAAAAGAAAAAATTGGCAAGACAATTTTTTAACACAATGAGTATATCTTTCATTATAAATGGGAAAATTTTTGTCATTAGCAAGGAGTAAAATGACAAAATGAATTAATTACCTAACTTTATAAACAGCAACAAGAAAAATGTGGGAAAACATTTCATGACAAAAAAGGTAAAAATTTCCTTCACAATGCTATGCTTTACTAAAGTAAAATGGTATTCAAATATGATTTTTTTTATTAATTAATTTATTTGTTTATAAAATTTTCCACTTCCTCCCCTCCTCCCCCTACCCTCCCATTCTCCCCACTCCCTCTCCCCCCCCCCCACTACCACCCCCCTCCTTCCTCTCCAGTCCTAAGAGCAGTCAGGGTTTCCTGCCCTGTGGGAAGTTCAAGTTCCTCCCCTCTCCCTCCAGGTTTAGGAAGGTGAGCATCCAAACAGACTAGGATCCCAAAAAGCCAGTACATGCAGACAAAACAAGACCCAGTGCCATTAAGAATGGCTTCTCAGTCAGCCCCCATCTCAGTCACATTTAGAGACTCCAGTTTGATCACATGCTCGTTCAGTCCCAGTCCAGCTGACCTTGGTGAGCTCTCATTCGATCAGCCCCCTTGTATCCGAGGGTGGACGCATCCCACACGGTTCTGACTTCCTTTTTCATAATCTCTCTTCTTCTGCTCCTAATTTGAACCTTGGGGCTTCAGTCCAGTGCTCCAATGTGGGTCTCCATCTCTATCTCCATCTATCGTCAGATGAAGGTTCCCTCTAGTCCTGCCTTTCTTGCTCACGTTCTCCCTCCTTCTGCTTCTCATTTGGACCTAGGGAGTTAAGTCCAGTGTTCCAATGTGTGTCTCTATCTCTATCTCCATCCATCGCCCGATGAAGGATCTATGGTGATATACAAAATATTCATCAGTATGGTTATGGACCAGGGCCAGTTCAGGTACGCTCAAATATGATTTTTTTAGAAGAATCATTTCTAGGGAATCTAATGTATAAAGCAGTCATATCGTTAGCTATATACCCATCTACTCACATGGTTCAGGCGCTAAAGATCACTGTTGCTGCCTATTGCATAACAGAGTATTACCACATATCACGAGCCCAGGAAAAATAAAAAATAAAAACTTAAAGCACACTGTCAACTGCATGTGCATTATTAGAGCTTTATTGCAGACTTGGAAATTTGTTAAATTTGATACTCTTGGAATTGCTTGTATTATATTGACATTTTCTGAGAAGGCAGATCTTGACTACACACACACACACACACACACACACACACACACACATACCCCACATAAGATAAATAGATCAGGTGATAATACATTCACCAGATTCATTTTGGTGACCATTTCACATTATTTTTTTTTGAAAGTAATTTTATTAAATTATAAAAAGTTTCCATTTACACCCCTCCTCCCAACGCCCTCCCACTCCCCCCCTCCCTCTCCTCCTCCCTCTTTGTCCCCAAGGGCAGTCAGGGGCAGTCAGGGTCTCCTGCCCTGTGGGAAGTCCAAGTTCCTCCCCCCTCCCTCCAGGTCCAGGAAGGTGAGCATCCAAACAGACTGGATCCCAAAAATCCAGTATATGCAGAGGAAACCAGTCCCAGTGTCATTGTCAATGGCTTCTCAGAAAGACTGCAGGCCAGCCACATTCAGAAAATCCGGCCACATTCAGAGAATCTGGTTGGATCACATGCTCGTTCAGTCACGGTCCATCTGGCCTTGGTAAACTCTCATTAGATCCGACCCCTTGTATCAGTGGGTGATAGTATCCCTCACAGTCCTTCGTCATTTTCTTCCTCCTTCTGCTCCTCATTTGGATCTTGGGGGGCTCAGTTCGGTGCTCCAACGCGGGCCTCCATCTGTATCGTCATCCAACGCCAGATGAAGGATCTAGGGACCTTGGGTGCATGGGGGGGGGGGTGGGAGGGTTGTTGGAAGGGGAGAGGGTTAGAGAGAAGGGAGTAGGGGAGGAATGGAGAAAGCTCGGTTGACCGGGATGGGGGGAAGGGAGGAAGGATGAATGTGGGATCAGGGAAGAATATATTTCAACTAAGGGAGTCATATTAGAGTTTACAGGAAACTTGATTATATATGGGATCCCAGGTCCAAGGAGAGATCCCCAGATTGTTCTCTGGGCAGAGGAGGGGGTGCCTGAACCGGCCTTGGCCCGTGACCATACTGATGAATATTTTGCTTATCACCATTTCACATTATTATATACCACATTATCCCACATCATCCTGCTACATTTATACATTATTTTTTAACCATTGTAACTCACAGAGCTGTGAAAAAATGAAGAAAAGACTTCGTATTTGAAGATCTGGAATGGTAGACCAGCACTAATGCTGGTGGAGACAGCAAGGAAAATACCATAGGGTTCCCAAACCACCTGACCTAAGGAATTCTGAGTCCATTTTGAAAACAGAATGTTCAGTTTCAAGCTAAGGAATAACTTCAAATAGGAAGCCTGTGACACTTTTTAAAATTTAATTTTTTATTAGTGTGCAGATGGATGGCTTGGTTGATGTCATCCTTGTGTCCTTATTCTTTGATTTTGAGATATAAGCGCACATTTGTACCTGGGTAGTCAGCATTCAGCAGCAAAGCTGCTTATTGGTTTCCTCTTCATCTTTCTTCACTTAGCCGGTTTTTCCTGTCCAAGAATATTGGTTGATTTAGTCTTTTTTATTCCAAAATACTATTTTTTTAATGTAAATATAAGGATGGACCTGTATGTTCTTGCTAAACATAAAACATAACACTAAATGTCTTCTCATCTTCAGAATGTTTGTGTGATCCAATTCAGAGTGGATCCCACCTCAAATTCAACCTTCTACAGACTTTGTTTCTATATTATACCATTTTTGTCACACCATATTTTCATTTTTTATTGTCTGTTCATATGCACACACACACACACACACACACACACACACACACACACACAAATGTTAGGGTTCTAAGGAGTCAAGGGCCCTAGCTTTATTTCAGGATTCCTGCAGTTTTGTAAAGAGAGATTTAAGAAAGTATTGTTTAATGAAATTAGGAACATGAATAAGAAAACTTCAGAAACAAAATTATTGTTATTTCTTGAAATCTGATGTTGGAAAAGCATTTAATTTTTTGAATTATTACTTTTTGTGCGGTGTGGTGTGGTGTGATGTGGTGTGGTGTGGTGTGGTGTGTGTGTGTGTGTGTGTGCACAGAAGCTTGCCATAAGAAACCTATTTGGAGAACATAGGATAACTCCTTGGGCCACTTCTCTTCCTCTATCATGTGGCTTGTGGGGTCAAACTTCATCAGAATGGCACCGAGAGACTTTACTTTCTGAACTGTCTTCCTATCACATTATCTACTGACTTTTAAAACTTACTTTACTGGTAAATAATTTTGAGAAACTAAAGACAAGAAACACATTAACATTGTGGTATTTGCCACAACTTTGCTTTTTTGTACTTGGTTCCTCTTTCTGGAATTTTTTTTTTTTTTTTGCTGTTTCAAAAGGCTTTATTTTTACTTGGTCCAAGACTTGAGAGGGGCTCCAGGGCGTTACAAAGCTGCCTAGTGGCTTCTTGAGAGTTTGGGGTGAAGGTCCTGAGGCTGGCTGGTGCAGAGCAGGGGTGGGAGCCCCTTGGAAGGAGAGGCCTCCTAGTCATGCTTGAGAGTGAGCCGCTCAAAGAGGTACTCGCCCAGAGACGCCTGGGGCCCAGAAGTCAACCTGCGGAGGTTGGTCAGGTGGTTGCCCATCTTCTTGATGACCTTGACCTCCTCATCCAGGAAATGGTTTTCAAGGAAGTCACAGAGATGAGGATCTGTGCGAGCAGAGCCCAGGGAATAAAGATCCAAGAGGGCCTGGTTCAAGTTCTTCAAAAATATGGAAAGCTTCACGAATTTGCGTGTCATCCTTGCGCAGGGGCCATGTTAATCTTCTCTGTATCGTTCCAATTTTAGTATATGTGCTGCCAAAGCGAACACTTTGGAATTATTTTTAATGGATTCATAATAAGGGAATAGAAAGTCCCTCTAGAAACCTGAGAGAATAACTAAGATTATTATTGAAATTTTATATTATTCATTAATACATATTGTTTAATTGAAATAACATTCAGAGAGAGGAAAGCAACTTCCAGTCTCTCAGGTTGCAAGAAAAAGTCTGGGACTGAGCAAAACCTTGTTTATTTCCCTAGCAATAGAGAAAGAGAATTTCATAGCAATTTGAGACGTGTGTGTGTGTGTAGAAATAAGATCAACCTAACTACAGTATAGTTCAAATCTATTGAAATTATTCATAGCTGTATGCAGTCAGACAGCAAAGTAGATGGAATCTATTCTTACCTGTCTATTAAATGGCCAATCTCCCCAGTTCCATATTTTCAGTGTTCATGTAATGTTCTCAAGCTTGGGTGATATTTCTTTTCATGCATAAGAAAACAAATTTGATGGAAAGTAGGCGAGGGAGGACATGGTTCGATTTTAAAAGAGGAACCCTGAGAATTTATTGTGCATCACAAGCCTAGTGCTTTGCTAAACATTTTGTACGTGCTAAATTTTCTACTCCCCTTCCATTATTTCCACAGTCAAGAAAACTACGGCTAGGCCAGTTTAAAGTTTCCTACACCTCATATCAGGCAAGTGTTAGAATTGAACTCCACTCAGCTAATGACCTCACTGTTGCCTCTTGGCTATTCTCTTATAATAATGTTGTGGTTGCAATGAAAAATATTTACCATAGTTTCAGGCCGTGAATACCAGGTTCACATTGGTGTGGCTTGCCTAGGCCTAGTAAGTATGGCTAGCTAGAGGAAGGATGTCACTCAACTGAGGCTTTGGGTTTCAAACCCACATAGCATTGCCATTTCTGTCTCTGCATCCTGCTTATGGTTACAGTTTTAAACTCTCGGCAATGAGTATCCAACTCCAGCCACCAAGTCTGCTGCCTTCTACCTGCTGCCTTACTGTACCTGCCCTTATACAGTCGAATCCACTGCAAGCATACATCCAAAAATGTTCCTACTTTAATTTGACTTGGCCACAATGCTTCATTACAGCGATGAAACAGTAAGACAAATACAAACCCCTCTTGTTTGTGTGTTAACTATGCCTTTCATCTACCCAGTTGCTCTCAGAGGTGGCAGGTAACTGAAACGTCCTAGGTTGCTATCCAATGCAATACTTCACAATTTTATACCTTGGACGGAGACTTTGAGAGCAGCTGTGAGCGGAGAGGTGGGAAATGCAGGAAAGAGCCTTGGGAACAATCGGAGCTATTGTCCCCAAGAAAACAGTTTTATTATAGATAAGATGAAAGTGATTATTATGCATACATAAAATTAATTCCTAGTGGTTCTTTACCATTGAGCATATTGGAAGCATAAAAATACCCATTGTCAATGAATGAAACAGTTGGCTTATTAGAGGTACGGGCTTCTGCGCTTTCTTGTACTCCACTTCCCCTTATTTCTTAATCTTTTTTTCCTCCCCCACTATTGCTTATTTTGCATCTCTGTTCTTGCAACATGCTTTTAGTGCATTTCCCCAAAAGTTACTATGAATATTGGCGGTACAAAAGGATATTTCTATTTTGAATCACTCAAATTCTAAAGTGATAAAATTGTTAAAGGAAGAGAATGATGGTTAATAGAGTTTTACAAGAGCCTTAAAATGCACATAAAACATTCATAGGAGGGGAAGCGATGCCTTTGTCCCCACACTAAGCAGTTTTCATCATAACCTGTAGCAGCTCATCTTCCAAACAACCTTGCTTATAAATGCTGAGTCCACACATAATGATAGTGGGAATCTTGTTTTCATAATGAAAACTACAAAAACAAATAAATGTGCAAATGTAAATGATCTATTTGTAGCCAGATTCCAGGAATTCTGGAATAGAAGCCAGAAAACAAGAAGGTCTGCAATAGTATTGCTTTTGAGAGTTGATTTGAATGATATTCCAAGCCTGGCAGGAGTTGCTAGTCACCATTGCAGCTTAAGGAAGGGGAAATTGGCTGTTTGATTCACTAACAAAAATGTTCATTTGTTATTTTTATAATATAATCTGGAGATGTTGAGAGAACTCTTTATCATTTATATATTCTTCCAATAATTAATGATGAGAATCTTCCTATGTACAAGATATTGAACTTCTAGTTAATAGAAGAGTTACTTGCAAGAAATTATAAGATTGTGTGCGTGTGTGAGTGTATTCATGTGTGCACATGTGCATGAAGTTGACAGCTTACATCTTACGAAATTACACAGACACTCAAGAGACATCAATGTTTGACTCACAGTATCTTTTTTTATGGAGTTCCATCCTTCACTTACCCTTCCAGTTCAATCTCCATCACCAACGTGGGAGTCTTGTCTCCCTTTTGATGTATTTCCTTGATAAATCACAAATAGAACTAATGGCATTTTTCAGTTGTGCTTAATTTACATCATTATTTTCATTGCCAGTACCTCTGTCTATTCCTGTTGGGTTATACACTACCTGAGGGCATTCACATACTCTTATAAAATAACAAAATCTCAAGTTCATGGTGTGTTCTTGATAAGACTTGGTGCAAACACAAATGAATATTTGTAGCCCAAAACAGACTGTGATGTTGAGGAAAGCAAAATGCTAGATTATAGAAAGGAATGTAAATATTAAAGAAGTTAAGAAAGGGACAGAACTAGTCTGCAAGAGGACTGGTGGTTGGACAGGGGGTTCAGAAGGATTTCTTTCAAGCAAGTATATATTGTGTTGCCTACTATTGGTAGTCAACTTGAGTATGCCCAGAAAGAACTACAATCCAGAAATGAAGGACACCCTTGTGAGAAATCTTTTGTTTGGTTTTATTTATTTATTTATTTATTTATTAATGTATAAAAATTTCCACTTCCGCCCCTCCTCCCAATACCTTCCCATTCTCCCCACTCCCTTTCCTGCTCCCTCTCCAGTCCTAAGAGCAGTCAGGGTTTCCTGCCCTGTGGGAAGTTCAAGTTCCTCCCCGCTCCCTCCAGGTCTAGGAAGGTGAGCATCCAAACAGACTAGCAGGAGAATCCACCTTCAGTCAGGACCTTTGAGGTAAGAAGATATATATCTTTCATCTGGATCTTGAGAAGGATACACTTTTAATCTGGAACACATCTTCTGCTGGAGTCTATAGGACACAGAAGGAACTGTGCTCTCTGCCTGTTTTTCCTAACCTTGCCAGCACATCTAATCCCTCACTCACACTAGAGCCTACTTCTTTAGGATTCCCACAGACGCTGAAAAACCAGGTGAGACATCCAGGCTTGTGGACTGAGCAACTATTGGGTTCTTGGGCTTTCAGTTGACAGCCATTTATTGGTTAATTAACTGGACTACAGCCTGTCAGTGCAATAAATCCCATACATACATACATACATACATACATACATATTTCTCTTTCTTCTAGAGAGACAGGTAGAGACAAATAGACAGATTCATTGTATAAGTTCTGTTACTCCAGAAAACTCTGAAACATATAATATGTACATTATATACATATGTGTGTGTATGTTATATGTATGTGTGTATTAATATCAATATACTAGTAATATTAACAAGACCATGACAATGTAGAGAAAGAAATTGTTCGTGACCTGGAAAAATTAAGCAGTTCTTGCATATTCGTGACTTGCAAGTCTTTTTCTTAATTCATAACTTGAGTAGCAGATTTGTTTGCTGTATGATCCTTTGGACAATATTTGACCAGTGTTTAAATTTGTGCCTGCTGCCCTTGCTTGCCTTGTACTATTTGGTCTCATCTTTTTATTTTCCTGAATATGGTTTCTTTTTGGTCCTCCCAGTTGAAGGACATATTTTTTCAGTCTTTTTAATCTAGTGATTTTCTTTCTCTCTTTGTGAGTCTCCCTGAGAGATCCACCTTCCACTTTCACACTCATCCTTGTCTATATTAATAACCCATGAGGGAAGCTCCTCACCTGCATTCTGTTTCCTCTACACCGCTTGTCTCCAGCTGTCTCCATTATCTGTCCTCTGTGTCGCTTCCAGCTTTCACAGAATAAGATGAAAATAGCCACTCATTTCATATCCTTAACTCTCATTCTTTTGTTTTCTTTCAATGACTAGACATTATGAATATACATCAATATTACATCTTGTCATATTGCAATTTGAATTCTTATTTATATCATTCAAGTTTCAGTTCCATAGCAAATTTAAATTGAGTTTAGGGAATGCTATATCACATGTCTGTATTATTGTAAATAATATCTTAGATAAGTACAAACTCAACATGTTCTATTTAGAAATATCATATATGATTACCAGTATTATAAAAGTTAATATTCATTGATTGTTCATTTTGTACAGGTCTGTGATAAGGTAAAAACAGTAGTATCTGATAATTAAGTCTGGTACTACAAGGTAATAAAACCTTAGATGCCTCCTATGAAGCATACAACCTATAAAACATTGCATGTCTGATTTTTGCATGATAATATTTGAATGCATGCTATGACCATTATGAATATGACAATCATGTGGAAAACCTGTCTTTCACACACTGATAAATGCGTCTTAATCTCTCTTGCTGTGTAATGTTATCTTTAATTACACAATTAATTGTTGAATATTTAATTTGTCTACCCACAAATGAGTAAAACTACTTTGAACTCTAAAGAAAAGTGTTTGTGTGTGTGTGTGTGTGTGTGTGTGTGTGTGTGTGTGTGTATTCTACAGAAATATGAACTGCTTATACACCAAGCTTCCCTTTCATTTCTTTCTCTTTCTTAATTCTTCATTTTTGGACACTTTAATTATTACCTGACTTAGAACATTAATTTTATGTGTGTAAGAGATTATGGGCACATGTGTCATTGGATAGGTTTTGATCATTAGTTTTGTCTTCTACTTTATTGAGACAAGCACTGCCCTGTGATTTTGT